TCTAAGCAAAGGTCTACAGATAAAACCATGGATCTACTGTCACAGATTTTTGTTATCCTTACTTGTCTGGTTCAAAGGTGATGAATAGAACGCATGATCAATGAAAATTCAGGGCGGAACGACATAGCAGTCGGTTTTTACGTCGTCTAGGTTTTGCGCGATTTTGACCAGATTTCTGTTTGGGGTCGATACTCATCAGACGTGTTCTTTTTGAGAACGCTTCAAACTAAAGCTCCCTACTATCAGCCTATTGCACTCACAGGCGCAAACTATTGGTGGAGTGACCGTGTAATATTTCAAAACCTGCATGGGCAAAACTAGTCAGTTGATTTTCAGCTTAAGCTGATGGAATCGCAGCGGCCTACATCCTATCGATCGGGGATTCGCACACACTCTTGTGGCACAAATGCACCTTGTTCAGCCAGTATCGAATTGCGGTTAGTATTTCGTTTGTCACATTAAACATCCAAGTACAGTAGGCTCCTTCGTTTGACAGTTTAGTAAAAATGCCACCAAAGCGTGCGCATACCGGCTTCCCCGATCGATGCGAACATAGAACTAGGAGCATCTCTATGACCGTCCTGAATATCCGACACGCATGTTTTATGCCCCTGTTGGCCACTACCTGAACGGTGACAATTTTTCATTGCAAACTTTCCTACATCGTCGTCCATGGTCAATCGGGAGGTTCACATGACAGGGGCCTTCCGGCACACATCGGTCGGTTTCCACTTTCACACACATACAACACCACACAAATGCACGAACCGTGGAAACAACCCACTCGATAACGCACTTGTGGATCGTGATAATTGCCATATCATGAAGTGGAACAATACGGTTATGATCAGTTTGATAGTTGCACCACATTCAACAGCGTGGTTCCGATTAATTGCTCCAGTTGTGATGATCACAGATGGTACAAGTTAACCGTTTAATCGAATTAGTTCGTGTTGGGCAAAAAAACAGAAAGAATTGGACGACTTGTTGAAGTGTGAACCTAACGGAGCTGCACTTTAGCCGTGTAAATTTCTATTTTGGCTTGTTTATTATTAACCCTCGATTGTCTTTTCCACACGGGTGTGGTTTGCTCAAAAATGCATTGTGTTTTACATCATTCTTGTGATTTCACCTTTCACTGTGGAGCTGTTTGAGTTTGAAAATACGCTCAACTCTTTGGTTCCATATAACAATGGCTGCGCTTATCTTACCCGCTTATTCACCGGGTGTTTCTCTTTTCCCGCGCTTTTTTCGGACGGCAACTGTTTCCACTAATGCTTGCTACTCACCAAGCTTAGTTGTTTGTAATTTCAAGGTAAAATTCTCCCAAACCAACTCACCACTCTGTACGTGCACATTCCACATATGAACCACGCTAGATATATCCATGACTGAAAGCGAAGGTAAGCGTTTGTGTAGCTTAGATTGAACTTCACCCACCCATAGTTTGATGGCCTCAGCACCCCCATGAACTGTTTTCTATGATGGACTTCCAACTTGTCTCGTGTGATGCGCACCGAACAAATTGCAGTGTCTATTTTCCCGTTGTTTTTGCATTACGGGCAATTCTTCAAAAATGTGTGAGCGTAAATTTTCATGTGCATGCGAAGTGGAGCAAGCCATCGACACATTATCTTTGTGGGGTTTTCGGTCCCCAGTGAATCACAGTGTTTGCATGGATGCCGTCAAGGGTCTGGCGTTCCTACATTACTATACGCACATCTTCAAGCGCACATCTTGCATATCTGTCGTACTCCTGGCACAGTTGTGCTTTCTTGGCAGCTTATGCATTTACATCAGCTTTGGTGTACCAAACGTTAACGTCATTATTTCCCGCCTAGCTCCCCACAGCTACCAACCAATGAAAAGGAAGGTCAGTTCATATGCAGATGGGAATATACATCCGAATAAGAAAAAACAGATAAGCCAACGGTTTCTCGTGTGGATATCACATGGGTGGCGTAGCAGATGAAGCACAAACGCACCGAAAATGTCGCCTACCCCTTTACATCTCACTTTTCGAGATTATCGAACACGTTAGGACCCCTATAAAATCATTCTCACAAATGTTTCTTTGTCATTATGGCCACAGGTACAGCATACTTTAAACATAGGTAGTTTACCATACTCCGGTCGCTCAGATAAATCAACAGGTCTTCCATGTGATTGATCTGAATACGAATCAGCTAGGCCGCCTAAAACCATTCTCGACTCTATCGGAGTGACTGTACTAAGACAAATAAATTCGAATAAAACACCAGTGCTATACTTATCTACATTCCCTAGTTAAGTATTCTCAGTCTCTTGTGCATATAACACGAGCTGAGAACAGATGTTTTGTCCCTAGATGAAAGGTGAAAGTCTAAAAAAACTGTTCACGTTGATGAGAACTCGTAACTCAAATGTAGCACTGAAAAGTTGTGTGAGGAATTCCAATAGACAAGTCTTTGTAATACAATGTTAATTCTAACTAGACCATTACCCGGTCGTCCATCTTCTCCATGACTTCCCAGCATTTTTATCCGGCGCACTCTATGTATGCATTGTTCGTTCTTCCTGCATGATCAGTTTTCGTGAAACAGAGCACTGTTTAAAACATTGTTATGGCGATTATTCCTGCTAATATCATATGCACCGTAAAAATGGTCGTCCTGTGCGGAGCGAAGCAATACAGAAAGAGATGTGACATTTTCCTATTGGAAAAGTTGTTAGCTTCCGTAAGTGCTTTCGCCCTAAGATTCGGGCAACAGAGCGAGTTTACTGTGATGGCCCTCAGCTGGTTTGCTGAGCTGCTCAATTTGACTGCAAACGTTTGGTCACCGATCGGGGTAAGAGTATACCGCAACGCTACACTCCCAAACAACACACTGATGATGCCACCTCGATTGGTGGTAAAACGCTTGCAATCAAACTGCCTAGTTCAACAAACAGAAGGCTAACTAAGTCATCTGAGCTACCAACATTCTCTTTAACAGGAAAGTCACTTTGGATCACTGGCGCACTGATTCTGTGTGGATTATTGAGCAACTCAATATCTCTTAGACACAGGCTGTCATATCAGTGGACCGAGAATATTTCCTCGTCTAGATAACACATTCACCGCGAAAGGCCTAACCTAAAGGTGATACTCATTTGGGGTTTCTAGGCTAGAAACACGCAGTTGCCTCAAACTAAATCTTTAAAACGTGCGTATGCAGTATCGTCTTGAGATCCATATTTAGCCAGAGGTACCGAACAAAGTTTTTGAACAACGATTTGCTAGCTTCAAATAACTGATTGACTCGCCGTTCATAAAACACTAGATCGTTTTTACGTTTCACGATGCTTTTTTCCATTTTTTTAACTCTAAGCAAGAACAAATGGTGCCCTTGTGTAATTAACCTTGCTTTTAAGGTACTACAACAGTGTAATGATTTTGTAAATTATCCAGACCAAGCGAATTTGATCGTTTTCAATTCTTCGCGGAAATGTGATCCCACATTGATGATTCACTCTATCAATGGTGAATCAATAACAGTTAGGTAACTGTTACAGATTTGACGCTGTTCAAATGTCATACAAGCGTCACCGTTTACCAATGAAGAAAATGTGTTAAACTGCTCAGATATAACTTCCTTCAGGCTCTGTAATTAACCTTGCTTTTAAGGTACTACAGCAATGGAGTTCAGGGCCCATGCGTGGCCCTTCTTATTCTCACGTGTAATGATTGTGCAAATTATTCAGACCAAGCGAATCTGATCGTTTTCACTTCTTTGCGGAAATGTGTTCTCACATTCATGATTCACTCTATCAATGGTGGATCAATAACAGTCAGGTAACTGTGTTACCGATGTGGCGCTGTTCAAAAGTCATACAAGCATCACCGTTTACCAATGAGGAAAATGTGTTAAACTGCTCAGATATAACTTCCTTCAGGCTCCAAAGCATGTGGCGAAGGGATTGGTATTTGGTCGTTGGCTTGTTCACCGTTTACCAATGAAGAAAATGTGTTAAACTGCTCAGATATAACTTCCTTCAAGCTCCAAAGCATGTGGCGAAGGGATTGGTATTTATAATACACGGCGTACTTTATTACGAGCTTGGGAAGTTGATGATCCTAACTTCCATGTGCTTCCCATTGATTGCATGCCGTGTGACAGTCACTGCGGGGCGGAATGCAGACAGTAGTAGGAAAATTATGGATCGAAAATGGAGAAAGATGGAAGAACTCAATGTTGTTAATCTACTACACACTCCTGATGTTACCTCGGCTGGCGACGTAACTTTGGAGACCAAAGAAAATCTCGTTAGTTGCAACGTCAAATATCTGTACAGCCTGAGCTACCAATATTTCCGTCAATGTCAACGGCCTTTTCTAGTAAGAGAGCTGAAAACGAAACAGAATAGCCCATTTTAACGATATTTTGGGTTTATTTTTCTGTATTATGCGGCGTGTACTACAACTTATACTAATGAATAAATTAAAAACGAGATCTTACTGCATGCAGGGTTTACTATGCAGTCTATTATGGTGGCACCAACACCTTCCTTATTACTTAACACTATCGCTGTAAATCGCAGGATCCGCCAGTTACATGCTAATTTATCATTTTAGTTCATTCACAGCTGCAGTTTGTAGTACATAGATAATGGGGTGTGGTAAAATAAATGCGTAAACCTACGCCACTCTATTTCATCTAGTTTCCTCAGGCGCAGGCTTCACACTGAGTAGACATCGAACATTCCATCCAGATTAACTGAACAGAAATAATCTAATAAAATCCTGACGGCGTGATCTGTGATGGTACTAATAGCTTACACACTGCATCCGATGATTTGCATCTGTTCGCTCTTCATAAGTGTGTTTTATCCGAACTTCCAGACCCACGTTTTTGGTGATTTGCACACACAGCTTCGGTCATCCCTTATCAATCATTTTGGTGGCCCGGTGACCTATGTGAATCAGTTCATAATCATGTATGTGCAGGGCGTCAACACCACTGTTCCACGTTATCTTACAGCTCAGCAAAGTCTACTGTCTCGTTTCACAAACCGAAGACCGACAATACCAAGCACACCGGAAAAAGTGGCCAGCCCTGATGCCGGCAAACAACTGGCCTTGCCGGAAACCCAGGAGACTGGACGTAGAACTTCACAAGGCCTGATCGACACAGGGAAACCGCGTCTTGGTGAATGGTCAAGGATCAAAGTTACTATTGTGGAAAGTAACGAATTCAAGGTAGGAAGCTAATACGCTACAATCACTGTACAGTCCACGCTGCAACTGCTCCACCCTTATGGCAATAAGAAGCTACCGAATTCCCCATTTATACAGTAGCTGCGGTATCAACCTATTAAGCTATAGGAGTCTGAGTAACATAGGGGATGTTCAAACATTAATTTCACGCAGGCTTTCAATGTTCGTGTTTTCAAGGCATGATGTGCGATTCCCCCAAACGATCGGGGTTCGTTTTACATATCATCCACTTACAGCTACGAATTTCGAATACGGCCAAACCTTAATAGTGTTCCTTAGAGACTGATTTATTTCGCACATCAGCCTAAAGGATGATTACTGAACAAAAAAGAATCAAAGGTGAACCCATGCAAGTTACCGCCTATTTTCTTCAATACCAGGTCGTGCAGCACCAACGTTTCCACCGTAGTGTGATCTGCAGTTCTTTGGGGCCATCGGTCTTTCTACCGAAAGAGGTTAATACAATGAAGATTTACTTCAATAGAACAACGCATAAAAACTAAACTAGCTGGATTATAAGCAAACATTGTTGACACATTGTCGTCACAAACTTGGTACGATCTCGGTACGATCTACAGCAGAATAACAAATCACTGCACTTGTTTCCAACTTCAGGATAGCGAAATAATTAGCTGATCAATTATTCCGGTAATCGAAAGTGATTATTTTGAAGACTGGAAATATGTTGTGATTTCCTTGGGATGCTTTCTCAGAAGACTATTGATAACGCACGCAGGTTTTTAAACCAAATTTAGGTCACTATATCTGGAAGGGCAAACAAATCCCTGACAAATTCTCGGATTTCTCTTAATTCGATATCATTGATTTGGGCCAAACAACTGACTCGAGTTTTTAAGGTGATACAGTTTATATCCTGGCATTCCAAAACGCCCCGTCAAATGCGATATTTCTATGTCGCATATCAGTAGTTTGCGCCTATTCCAGCTTTAAAAAACGCGTAACATTTTCGTTGCCCACTGAAGTGTTGTAACGATATTTTTGTTGTCAGAGTAAAGGTCAGATACCTGGTGAATTCTATTCTGGACTACGTTTTCTGTGAATTTTGGTGTGCATTGATAATTTGATGTCCGATTTCAAAACTGTGCTTCTTACTTCTTACGAACTGCTGATCGGCTTCCAATGTTCGAATGGATTAACGGAATGGCACCAGTGCTAGTGGGCGCCATCTAACGAAGCCTAAGAAGATGTCTACAGGAAAGTGACACGATAGTTTGAGCAGCACGGCTGTGGAGCATTTGTTTGGCTGTACATCATTGATAGTAATTTTGCCCTAGCCACTGAATCTCAGTCTATTGTGTGCGAAAATAAAAACACAGAAACGAACTATTCGGACGGGATTCATTCCAGTCACTCGATGAAACCGAATATGTATGAAACCGAGTGCGGTTCGCTGGTGTGTCAAGTTCGGGTGCGAGCAGAACATAAGTTTGACGGAAACTCTGGAAGTGAATCTACCTACTGAGTCCCACAAAGAGCGAAGCTGGTTATGGGCCACAGAATAGTCTACAACAACCCTGTGAGTAGTGTTCTGTTAAGAGACTACAGAGAGTTAATTCGGATGCGAAGCCTTGATGTTCACCATTAGTCGTGATTTTAAAGTTTCCATCAAAGGTTTCCGAGTAATAAAGTTTTCAAATTATTCACATTTCCATGGCAAATTTCTCTCTATAAACTGTAGATTGAGTTGTATGGCCTATACTTTTTGCCGCATATCGTCTAGAGTATGGCTGAAACAGATAATTAACATGTGAAGTCTTCACTGATCGGGGTTTGTTTTTCAATATCATCCACAAATCACTTACAGCTACGAATTTCGAATACGGCCAAACTTTAATAGTGTTCCTTAAAGACTGATTTATTTCGCACATCAGCCTAAAGGATGATTACTGAACAAAAAAGAATCAAAGGTGAACCCATGCAAGTTACCGCCTATTTTCTTCAATACCAGGTCGTGCAGCACCAACGTTTCCACCGTAGTGTGATCTGCAGTTCTTTGGGGCCATCGGTCTTTCTACCGAAAGAGGTTAATACAATGAAGATTTACTTCAATAGAACAACGCATAAAAACTAAACTAGCTGGATTATAAGCAAACATTGTTGACACATTGTTGTCACAAACTTTGTACCACGATTTTTTGACGATCTACTATACAGCAGAATAACAAATCATTGCACTTGTTTCCAACTTCAGGATAGCGAAATAATTAGCTGATCAATTATTCCGGTAATCGAGAGTGATTATTTTGAAGACTGAAAATATGCTGTGATTTCCATGTGACTGCTTTCTCAGCAGACTACTGATAACGCACGCAGGTTTTTAAACCAAATTTAGGTCACTATATCTGGAAGGGCAAACAAATCCCTGACAAATTCTCGGATTTCTCTTAATTCGATATCATTGATTTGGGCCAAACAACTGACTCGAGTTTTTAAGGTGATACAGTTTATATCCTGGCATTCCAAAACGCCCCGTCAAATGCGATATTTCTATGTCGCATATCAGTAGTTTGCGCCTATTCCAGCTTTAAAAAACGCGTAACATTTTCGTTGCCCACTGAAGTGTTGTAACGATATTTTTGTTGTCAGAGTAAAGGTCAGATACCTGGTGAATTCTATTCTGGACTACGTTTTCTGTGAATTTTGGTGTGCATTGATAATTTGATGTCCGATTTCAAAACTGTGCTTCTTACTTCTTACGAACTGCTGATCGGCTTCCAATTTTCGAATGGATTAACGGAATGGCACCAGTGCTAGTGGGCGCCATCTAACGAAGCCTAAGAAGATGTCTACAGGAAAGTGACCGATAGTTTCCACAGAAACGAACTATTCGGACGGGATTCATTCCAGTCACCCGATGAAACAGAATATGTATGAAACCGAGTGTGGTTCGCTGGTGTGTCAAGTTCGGGTGCGAGCAGAACATAAGTTTGACGGAAACTCTGGAAGTGAATCTACCTACTGAGTCCCACAAAGAGCGAAGCTGGTTATGGGCCACAGAATAGTCTACAACAACCCTGTGAGTAGTGTTCTGTTAAGAGACTACAGAGAGTTAATTCGGATGCGAAGCCTTGATGTTCACCATTAGTCGTGATTTTAAAGTTTCCATCAAAGGTTTCCGAGTAATAAAGTTTTCAAATTATTCACATTTCCATGGCAAATTTCTCTCTATAAACTGTAGATTGAGTTGTATGGCCTATACTTTTTGCCGCATATCGTCTAGAGTATGGCTGAAACAGATAATTAACATGTGAAGTCTTCACACATATGTCTGCAAGCGAAGGTGCCAAACACAAATTAAGTGGTTCACATCTCAGTGGAAAATTTGTTCTGACATTATCATCTCGGCTATCTTCGGAAGTGCTCAATGAAATCATTGTTTCAGACAGATCATCCGCAGTGAAATTCATTTTCTGAAATGGAAAAACCTTCATACATTGTTAAGTTTGATTATTCAAACGCTTTGCGCTTTTGTTGTAAAACAATGTGTAGAGGATCTCAAAAGTTCTCAGAATTTCTTTACGTAGAAGCTGCTCCTCTGTGCTAATCCCTTATTGCTTAAGTTGCGTCCTCGCCATTGCTACAAGCGACCCCTGCTTTCAACTTAAGTCATATAAATCATTTTGTCCTGTATGTCGTTCAGTCGAGACAAGTACATCTAGGTATGTAGACCTGCAACCGAATGCTTGTCTTGTGTCATGTTCAAGAGCATTTTGTTTACTGTTATTCGCTCGCATATCTAGTCTACATAGCTAGTCTACATGCCTTGTTGTAATAAAAACATCAGCAGTCTGTTGTTGGGCTTTACTCAGGTGAGGCATTTACTCATGCTCAAGCAGCACTTTAACTCAAGTAATTAATCACGGAATGCATCCAGGTTGACTCAAGTACACTGTCACGACTAAATTCCTCACTACAATGGTGCAATTTCCACTGTGGTCATTTCAGAGACTGGCATGTGCGCATCCACGTGCTTTCTGTTTTCGGCATCGACAATTCTCATGTACAATCGTTGATTACTATGATGGCCTGTAAAAGATCTTATTTCAAGTGCGCCAACGTTTAGGGAACTGGACTATTCGTACGGCTTAATACCGAACAGCTAAAGTACCAGTTCGCTCTTGGTGATTACCATGTTGGTGATTTGATATTTGTTTGCATTTGAACGCTTTTGAAACTACCGGAACATTGAGGCTTTCGTTGTAAAAGCTAAAGTACCAGTTCGCTCTTGGTGATTGCCATGTTGGTGATTACTTGATATTTGTCTGCATTTGAACGCTTTTGAAACTACCGTAACATTGAGGCTTCCGTTGTAATTTGTTTCGTGTTGACCGAAACATGCATGCATGGTTTTCTGTTGTATTAATAAGTAGGTCCTCGTTATCACAATCATTATCACCATTGCCACTATCACAATTTCTATATCACCATCCTTTGCTTTAAAAACCACGTACATTGTTAGAACTCTCGCAGTTTAACTCTATAGATTGTTTCCAGCAGTCCATTGGACTACGTTAAGTTACACGCAAAACCCCGAAAGCCAAATCGTTCAAATGAAGGTTTATCTACAAATGCGGTACTATAAATACAATAATAAAATAATAAAACTGTACAAACCCCAAATCATGGGATTACACCGGCTTCTATACACCGGTTTAGGAACTGCTAATTCCTAACGGATCCCAAAGTCCACACCGACTCAAAGCCACATGTTTAAAAGATTGCAAAACCTCGTGTGAGTTTAAAAAACACGTCCAATGACAAAGTCAGCGAACGGCTTATGTTCAGGTGTGGTGGTGGTGTAAGCGCAAAACTCAAATAACGAAATGAGGAATCGCTTTCTGCGATATGAAAAATAGAAGAAATGAATCAACAAACTCGCTGATGATTTGTGGACACAGTTAGTTACGCATTGTTAAGATAGTTACGCACTGGATATGGTAGTTGATAAATATAAGGCTGTC